TATTCTAGATCTCTAGGCGTCTCGTTACTCAAACATTATAAGAAAAACAAAATGCAAAAAAATCGTTACGGAATTTCACTCCGGTAGCAGAAATGGCTGGCCAGAGCGTATTAGGAAAACATAGACCAACATGCCCATATAGTTGTGATTATGTTGAGAAACGATGCCCACCAGTATTAAAAGCGTTATTGTCCAAATTAAATATTATTTGTTGTTATGAAATAAATGATTGTGATGATATTTTATTGTATGAATCGTTAGAACAACATGAGGAAAATGAATATATTTATAAAATTGTACAATGTCATAGATGCAAAAGTGATTATTTAAAAAAACATATAGTTCAGCATGAACTACAATGTGATTTGATTTATATCGTATGTAATAGATGTTAATATGCTTATAAGAAAAAAGATAAGCATGATGCAGTACAATATTTAGAAAAACAAATAGATTATCTTAAAGATCACATTAGAAAATTTGGTGCTTGCTCCGCGCTGAACCAAATTGGATAAAAATTGGGCGCCAGGTGCAAAATTTGTCGGTGAATCAATGAGAAAAATAAAATTTAGGCAAAAACCACGTTGATTATGTCGACGCCAAAAAAGAAGTGAAGATGTAATTATAAGGAACCTGCTGTCGGATTCACCAACAAATTTTGCATCTGGCGCCCAATTTTTATCCTATTTGGTTCAGCGCGGAGCAAGCACCAAATTTTCTAATGAATTACATTACAGATGTGTTGTTTTCTTACAATATTTTTGTCTTTTTGTTGAACTCTATTGCATAGATATACAGGAATCAAAATGAGAAAGCCTATCTAAATACTTCTCATAGATTAGTTAGTAACATTCCAATACAGAGATTCTTTTTTTAATATGAAACAAAAAATGTTTTAATCTTTTCAATTTAATTGTCCAAAGTAGAGTCTGAGAGAGTATGACTGCTCATCATAATGGCATTAATTTCATTTCTTCGAACCAATCATTAATAAACCATCGTGCAATTCTGAAAATTTTTTCTTTATGTGTCATTTTTTCTTTTTTTTCCTATGACGTTGACAGTTCAATAGTAAAAATCAATGGAAATTATTTCCTCAAACCTTTTTATGTTTATATTTTCAGATTAATTTCTTACAAACTAATTTTTATAAATTTATTTTTAATAATGGCTAGTAATAATTCAACGGTGCTTAAAAAGGTTTCTCCAGGTAATGTAAGAAGTTTAAAGTCTGTCTACACTGTAAATAAAAAGAGTATTCTCGAAAACTTAAAAATGGTTTTCGAAAATGTTACTATATGAAACCCTTTTGGATTTTCGAGAAGAGGATTTCGAACCATCGAAAACGCTTGTCCTGTTCGCATACCCTTTCTTTCTTCAGTTTAATTTTGTTCTCGGATATCCTTCAAAAAGGTTTTCGAAAGAGTAGTCGAACTCTCGCATACTCAAAAGGGTTTCATATAGTAAGATTTTCGACATTTTCGAGTAATCTTCCATATTACTTCCTTATTCATTGGAATACATAGTAAATTTTCCACACAAATCTTTTTTTCTCATCTACGCCTCTTCTTCTACCGGTACTACATACTGGAGCCGAAGTTCTCAGGCGTACATGTGGTTTTCCAAGAATTAATTTGAGCAAGTGTTTGATCTGGCTGTTTTCAGAAACCTTGTAGTTTTACTCGACTAGAAAAACAGATTTTCTGGTATCTTGCATCGTTTCTAACACTCAGATATTATGTAGTACTTCTAAAACTCATCTCGATTATTATTTCTTTCCTTTTGGCACTTTCTAATGATGTTTTCATGTTATCACTCTTCTTTCAAGTGAAATCAAAAACCTGTTCGATCAATCATTAACACAAGTGACTAGGCGTGGGCGAGTCCGAGTGCGAACTGGAAGATTTTTTGGCGGACGCTGACTAGACGTTTTTTTGAAGGACTCGCTCGAACGTGAGTTTTTGTATTTCGGATCCGATCTATTCAACTTTTAACATAAATGAACTAAGAAAAATGAAAAGCGACGTAACAACATCTTCTGTTTTACAAGAAACTGAAAATTTTGTTCAGAGGATGGACATGCAAAGTCAGCTTATTATCGAAAAATCAAATATCTATCTATCCAGGACTCCATAAATTTAAAAAGAGAAATAAACTACACTCATCAAAGATAAATCTAAAAGATTACTGGACTCGGTACTCCGTCGGACTCGTCCATGCCTGTAAGTGACATAGAAAGACTTATTCACTTAGATTTAAAAGATCTATGAAAGTTCGATGTACAATTTGCTCGCCCAGCTGATGATCGCTGCAATGAATATAATAACAAAATAAATGCGTTAGAAGAGTTTTCTCGTAGCATCTATATTAATAAGAGGATCGTTCATTCTACCTACATGGCTACAAAACCGAAGGGCTCCACTGCCCCATGGCTCACGTTGAGATATGTGTAACGAGACTTTATTGCAGAAGAGGTTCAGAATGCTTCTTACACGTGCAGTACAGCATCTGCGGCCGTCTGTGAAACAATTTTTTCTAAGGGTCTACTTTAAAAAGAGGTATTTTCTTTAAAATACTATTTAAATCACTGCTAATTATTATTTTTTCATATTTTTCTTATAGCTAACGATGCAAGTTCCATGATCTTCGACAAGTCCTTTCATAACGGTGCAGAGAAACCAACCGATGATAGAAATAATTGCCTAAGAAAGACCGTTCGATCATTTGATCTCGGTAAGTCAATGTTATCATTATTTTTTGAAAAGTATAAGAAGTGGTATTTTTATTCTATACTTTAGAACCAGAAATATACAGTGGTACCATAGATTTAAGAAAAGATGCTAATTATACTGAACTTCATATTGTACTTCAAGATTTAATTGATGATTTATTAGAAACTAAAGAAGAAGATTTCATAAGAAGGTTTCAACTCATATTTCGATTAAGCTGTAGAAAATTTGGTAAATTTAATATATTATTGCGTATAGATCCCAGAGTATGGTATAACGTTAACAAGTTTGTCTATATCAATGAAATTGAGAATAGAGCAAATATTTATATAAATAAGGTGAAAGTTACTGAAAAATTAATTAACAACAATAAAAAAATCAAAGTCTTAAATATTAAAAAATCAAAAAACAATAAAGTAGAATGGCATTGTACACACCTAATTGATAATAATGGTCAATGTAATTTTGAGGTTTTAAGGAAAAATTTTATCTATTATGATGAAGAAATGAAATTTTATCTATCATCTAAAATTGGCAATAAGTATACATTAATATTATGTCCATTAAATCATTATAATCAACAAGAATTTGTTACTTGCAGCAATACATGGTTATGTGTTAATAAAGCAATTAAATGGTTACAAAATAGTTTAAATATTAATTATTTTCCATTAAAAATGATAGTTATTAATGTTAATGAATACATGTCACAATACCCTATACACCTACAACATAGCCATGGCCATATTCAATTAATTTTAAATCATCTAGCAATAAATGCTTGTTTAAATAATATAAAATTTAAATCATTATTTTACCCAGAAAATTTACCAACAAATTATCGCTTGGATGATGCACGTGAATTAAAATCTTATATTGATGATGGAATTATTGGTATTCAATGTATTGAATAATCGTAAAGATAAAATATGGTGTACTTACGCTATATGAACAGTTTTTTTTCTTCATTATAATCAAGATATAGTATTTTCTCTTTGTCTTTTAATTTTCTACTATAACCAAGATAGATTTCACTTTGTTTTTCATTCTGCTGTTATTTTATTTTGTTCTAACCTTGATTTTACTTACTTTTATGAATTTTTCTTTCAATAAAAAGAAAATGTTACACACATTGACTCGAGGAAAGAAAATAATAACATAGAAGAACTTTTTGAAGGTTGTCTTTTAAGACAACCTTCAAAAAATTATTCTATTTTGTCGATATAGTTAATACATTTGACATAAAAGAAGTAGTTAAAACTTATCGTGGCGTTAAAAATTTTAAAATTGCTGTTGGTGAAATTACGATGATAAAGATGGAAACTAACAGCTCGTTTCCAAGAGTTCTGCTTCCAACGGGAAATATTTTCAATTCAAGAAAGATATATTCTCGATTGGGAAATAAAAGTAAGGGATATTTCAATAAGAAGTTTGCTTTAGCATCGTGCGTAATCAACGATTCCAAGAGGAGCTTCAGCTTTTCACATAGAGCAAATGTAAATCAGCTCAGCAGCAGAATAAAAACTGCTCCCACCCTAGACGACTTATGGTTCATAACATAATATATTTCCTGACTGAGAAAGTCTCCCGATCGGGAAAGTGGAAAAGAACTGACTGAAATTATTATCCGTTCAAAAACTGAATGGCTCCCGATATTTTTTGAGGAACTTTTCAGAGGAATGTCAGAGTTCTTGCAATTCAGCTATTCTATAGAATTCTATAGAATTCTAGGTTAGTACTGTACGTAGAATTCTATAGAATTCTAGGTAAGCATAGATATATAATATATTGACCAAGTTTGAGTCAAGCGGAAATGTATAGAATTCTATAGAATTCTAGGTTAG